AAGAACAACTCTTAATCAACTGCCTCTAAGGCCACTAGCTCCAAGTTCTCTACTGAAGTTGAAGGCATTCTGGGTGTTACCTTTGGAAGTTTTGGAGCTATTACGAGAAGCAAGACTGCTACACTAGGACAACAAACACTTTAAGTGTCATCCATATCAAATCCAGTTTTTGGGTCTACGACTCCAAAAAAGATCGAGTTCCTCCGCAAATGCTTTAGAAAGAGGAAGCAGTGTTGCTGAAAAGATCAAGAAGACATTGGCTCTCCTTGAGCAATCTGGTCCCAAGAACTCTACCACAAGGGATAGCTATGATTCAATGAATGAATCACCTCCACGTGCATCGCGTAATGTGAGTCCGCTGAAAATCAACTTACGCGACAATCCATGCTACTCTCCTACATCTCCAATGATCATGCAAACAATGGTGGATCCTGCTTCTTCCTCTGAGGAACAACTCGTAAATCTGACGAAGTTGGTTGAAGGATTGACAAAGCATGTACAACACCAAGAGTCTAGAATCGACAAGTTGATGGATCTAATGGAAGGACTTTTAGATGGAGAAGCGAGTCATGCGCCCGAAAAATATGTTGAAGTTCAAGAGATTGGAGATCCTGCGAAGAAAGCACCGCTTGTTAATGATATGTCAGTTTCTTCTAAAGGAATGATCCCACTCGATCTCTTAAAGGAGTTCATTGAAGGCACTATCAAATATAAGTATGAAGTCTCCACCAAGTCTTCTCATATGTATGCCAAGCCATACACTGCAAGAATTGATAACTTAAAAATGCCTGCTGGCTATCAATCTCCCAAATTTCAACAATTTAAGGGTAGAGGAAATCTGAAGCAACGTGTTGCACACTTTGTGGAGACACATAATAATGCTAGAACATATGGAGACTATCTTGTCAAGCAGTTTGTCTGGACTCTAAAAGGAAATGCCTTTGATTGGTACACGAATCTTGAGCCCAATTCTATTGATAGTTGGGAGCAACTAGAGCACGAGTTTCGCAATAGATTATATAGAACGAGGGATACTGTGAGCATGGTAGAACTTACGAATACTCTCCAAAGGAAGGATGAACCAGCCATAGACTTCATAAATCGATGGAGGAACGCGAGCCTGAATTACAAGGATAGGCTTAGTGAAGTTTCTGCAATAGAAATGTATATCCAAGGGATGCACTGGGAGCTTCTTTATATCTTACAGGGAATAAAACAAAAAAAATTGAAGATCTAGCTACTCACGCTCATGATATGGAGTTGAGCATGTCATCCGCCGGAAAGGATATGACATTTGTCCATGGCCCTCGCAAAGGAAGAGACAAGCAGGAACCTAAGATATAGAGCAAATTTGTGCCCAAGAATGACAACAAAGAGTCAATGAATGTTAATGTGTCACCTGTGAAGTTCACTACGAAGGAAGGGAAGAAGCAAAGTGTGAGAACGAATTTCCAAGAGCGTTCAGACCAAAAATCGATCCTAAGGGAAATGCAAGAAAAGGAATACCCCTTCTTGGATTCTGACGTTTCTGATATTTTTGATAAGTTGCTTAAATTAAAGCTCATTGAGTTGCCAGAGATGAAGGGGCCTGATGAAGCTGGAAAAGTTGATGACCCAAATTATTGCAAGTATCATAGACTTGTGAGTCATCCTCTTGAAAAATGTTTAGTCTTCAAGGATAGAGTGATGCGATTGGTTAGAGAAAGAAGATTGTCCTTGATGATGAGAAAGCTAGTTCTAATCAAATCTCCATCACATTCGGCTCGCTCGATCTGGTCATATCGCAGAAAAGCATGAAGAAGAGTCATTGGAGCTAGACGAATCTCAAGTTGATATAGATGGTGATGAAGGCTGGATTCTTGTGACTAGGCGAAAATGAAACAAGTGAAGCTAACGAAAAGAATCATGTGAGCAACCGATTAGAAAAAAGATGGTGAAGAAACTAGTGAATCAGAGATTAATAAAGCGCACAAAGAAGGCAAAGGTAGAAGTGCATCACTACCAGAAACCTCGACATCCTTTAACTCTAGAGGAATTCTGACCAAGTTGGTTGCGCAAAAAGTCTACTCAAGAAAATGTCTAGGCATCATATTTTAATGCTGATAAAGAAGAAACAATGAAGGTGTCTCCAACTGACAAAGAAGGAACAACGAGATAATCCTTACCAAAAATGTCTCCTAATGGCGAAGAAAAAGTAACAAGGGAAATATCGTCAATGATGTCTCATTTATCTTCTGAAAAGCCTATTGAACCTTCTTCACAAGAAGCAAATACATGTGATACAAAAATCACATTCACAGATAATGATCTTCTATTTGGTGAAACACTACACATTCGTCCTTTGTATATGGTTGGTCACGTGCTAGAGAAGAAGATAAATAGAATCTTGATAGATGAAGGATCTGGAGTCAACATTCTGCCTATCCACACATTGAAGGAACTCGGCATCACGACCAAAGAACTTAGTGAAAGTCATTTGTTGATACAAGGATTCAATCAAGGGGCACAGAGGTCCATAGGCTCCATTAAATTAGAAATCCACATGGAAGATTTGCGATCAAGTGCATGGATGCACATGATCGATGCAAAGACTTCATACAATATATTACTTGGCAGGCCTTGGGTACACGAGAATAGAATTGTCTCATCTTCTTACTATCAATGTTTGAGGTATCTTAAAGATGGAATTGAAAGGAAAATAGTTGCAGATAATAATCCTTTCACCGAAGTTGAGACGCACTTTGCCGGTGCAAAATTCTATTTGAAGAGTTATGTTGATAAAGGGACCAAATCTAATGATGTCAAATCAACCAAGTCTGACAAGATCACAAGTAAAAGAATCGATACGGCTATCGGAAAGGCAAAAGTTGACACTAAAGAACTTTGTCCCAATCTCAATGAAGGGAAGACCATGTCTTCAAAGAAGAATCTGACTTCTGGACTTCGCTATGTTCCAAAAGTAAAGAAAGAAGAAGTCAAATCATCTAACCTTCAAGAAGATGCATTAAGAGGACTAACTCTTCCTATCAAACGGATTGATGCAATAAACTTGCCTTCAAAGCTACCAGAAAAGACAGTCGCTCAAAATCAAGTGCGAGATGTGGCACTCCCTACAGAACGCACGACAGAAGGTTTTGATCCTAATGCTTACAAGTTATTTGCGAATGCTGGATACAACCCTATGAGCCATCAATATTAGGGAAACTCCCATCAGTTGATAAAACCAGGCAAGCACGTGAAGGCCTAGGTTATAACCAACCACCGCCGGTTAGCATCTCCATAAGAAGGGCAAGGAATAATCATATAACTTTTAAAGATGATGTCACTGCTCCCAATAGAAAGCCCTCCGTCTTTGATCGACTTGGAGAATCGACTGCAAGAACTTTTGTGTTCGAGAGATTAGGTCCATTGAAGAAGAAAAATAACAAGCATCAGAGAAGTTGTCTTAAAGTGACAACGCTGGCTTCATCTATGATCCAAAAGGATTTCAAAAGTTTGATTCCTTCTAAAATGATGCGACGAGTGGAACTTGTGGTTTCGTTTAAAGAGGAACTTAAGGCAAAGGCTCATACTGTGGCTTAAACCAAGGAGCGCGAGGAAGATGAAGAAAGTGTAGGCTCCTCATATCATGTTACAATCCAGAATGAGCACAATTCTTTGTCTCAAATGAAAATTGATAAAGAGTTAGAAGATATTGTCTGGTGTTGTCATATATCCGTCAATGAAAATGACCCTCTAGAAGAGGAAGATGTTGGAGATGCTCCACCAGAACTTGAAGAAGGAGTGAAGACCACAATATATCCCTTAAAAGAAGTTAACCTTGGCACTGATGAAGACCCAAGGCCTACTTACTTGAGTACCTTTCTAGAAGTTGATGAAGAAATCGCTTATATGAGTATACTCAAATAATATAGGGATGTCTTCGCTTGGAGTTATAAAGAAATTCTTGGTTTGAATCCTAAAGTAGCAGTCCATTAGTTGGCAGTCAAAAATGGTATTCGTCCTGTTAAGCAAGCCCAAAGACGTTTTAGGCCAGACTTGGTTCCATTGATAGAGAATGAAGTTAACAAACTCATTGAGGTAGGATTCATTCGTGAAGTTAAATATCCTACATGGATTTTCAAGTATTGTTCTTGTAAAGGAAGAAGAATGGCCAAAATTCGAAGTTTGTGTTGACTTCAGGGTATCTCAATAATGCATGTCCTAAAGATGAGTTCCCTCTTCCCATTCCTGAGCTAATGATTGATGCCACCACTGGTTATGAGGCGATGTCATCCATGGACGGTTCTTTTGGCTATAATCAAATCATCATGGCACCAAATTATGAAGAACTCACCTTATTTTGCACGCCTAAAGGTATTTATTACTACAAAGTGATGCCTTTCAATTTGAAGAATGTTGGTGCTACATATCAAAGGTCTATGCAAAATATATTTGATGACTTGCTCCATAAAAATGTTGAATGTTATGTGGATGACCTAGTGGTAAAGTCGAGAAAGAGGAGTGATCATTTAAAAGACTTAAGAATGGTGTTTGAGCTGCTTCGAAGATATCAACTAAGGATGAATCCATTGAAGTGTGCCTTCGGAGTTACTTCTGGAAAGTTTCTTGGCTTCATTATGAGACATCGAGGAATTGAAATTGATCAAGCCAAAGTTGATGTAATATAGAAGATGCCTGAGCCTCGAAATATTCATGAGTTAAAAAGTCTCCAAGGAAAGCTAGCCTACTTGAGGAGGTTCATCTCAAATCTAGCAGGACGATGACAACCATTCAGTCATCTCATGAAGAAAGGTGCTCATTTTAATTGGGACGAAACATGTAGAGATGCCTTTAAAAGTATCAAGTCATATCTAGCAAAACCTCTAGTTTTGGCAGCCCCTATACCTGGAAATCCATTGATACTCTACATTGCGGCACAAGAAAGGTCTGTAGGAACCCTGTTAGCTCAAGAGAATACTTAAGGCAAAGAAAACTCTCTTTACTACTTGAGTAGAACGATGACACCAAATGAGCTGAACTATTTGCCAATTGAAAATTTGTGTTTGGCCCTAGTCTTCTCAATTCAAAAGAAGAAGCATTATTTTCAAGCCCATGTTGTTCGTCTTATTTCTAGAGAAAATCCCATCAAGTTTGTTATGTCAAAACCTGTCCTTAGTGACCGACTAGCAAGATGGTACCTCCAATTCCAACAGTTTGAGATCGTGTACATCCCTCAAAAAGCTATCAAAGGACAAACATTGGCGGATTTCTTGGCAGACCATCCGATACCGGATGATTGGGAGTTAACTGATGAGCTTTCTGATGAAGATGCGATGTTAATTGAAGTTCAACCTCCTTGGAAAATGTACTTTGATGGAGCTGCACATCGTGGCGGAGCTGGTGCTGGCGTAGTGTTCATCATTTCACAAGAAGAGATCCTACCATTCTCCTTTACTTTGAAGCAATGTTGCTCCAATAATGTCGCTGAATACCAAGCGTTGATACTTGGACTTGAGATGGCCGTTGATATGAAGCAATTAAACTTACAAGTCTTTGGTGACTCTCAGTTGGTGATCAACCAACTCTTGGGAAGTTATGAGGTGAAGAAGCCTGAATTGCTTCCTTATCATGATTATGCTCAAAAGTTTATAGGATGGCTTGGAGATGTAACCCTTCAACATGTGCATAGAACGGAGAATAAGAAAGCTGATGCATTGGCTGCTCTAGCTTCAACGCTAACCCTTCCTGATCAGACGCAAGTGACTATTTTTCAAAAATGGATAGTACCACCACCAAATGAGGAAGAATGTATAGAAAATGAGCTTAATCATCTCGTTGCCATTTCTGAAGCCGCGAAGGAAGAGTGGAGACAACCCATTATTGACTACATGTGTTATGGGATACTTCTAGAAGATTCAAGGAGAAGGACTGACATTCTTCGTTGTGCACCTCGCTTCCTTTACTACAAGGACACATTATATAGAAGATCATTTGAAGGTGTACTATTACGACGTTTGGGAGAGGAAGAAGCAAGTCAAGCTTTGCAAGAAGCACACTCGGGAGTATGTGGATCACATCAATCTGGACCGAAACTCTAGTTTCACATAAAGAGGATAGGGTATTATTGGCCAAGCATGGTGAATGATTGCTTAGATTATGCTCGGAGGTGCGATGCTTGTCAATTTCATACATCAGCCGCTCGAAGTATTGCACCCAACTATTGAATCTTGGCAATTTGACGCTTGGGGATTAGATGTTGTGGGACCACTACCAAAATCTTCTGGTGGACACTTGTACATCTTGGCTGCAACAAATTACTTCTCAAAATGGGTTGAAGTTGTCGCTCTTAAAGAAGTGAAGAAAGAGAATGTTGCAAATTTTATCCGAGTGAATATCATCTATCGCTTTGGCATCCCTCGCTACATAATAACAGACAATGCAAGCCATTTGATAACAAGTTAATGAACAAAATTTGTGATTTCTTGGGTTTCAAGCAGCGTAAATCTTCTATGTATCATGCTGCCGCCAATGGTCTCGCTGAAGCATTCAATAAGACTCTATGCAACCTCCTGAAGAAAGTTGTCTCCAAGTCCAAACGGGATTTGCATGAAAGAATGGAAGAAGCTTTGTGGGCATATAGGACGACGTACCGCACTCCAACTCAAGCAACACCATATTCACTCGCTTTTGGTGTTGAACCAGTCCTACCACTCGAGTGTAAAATACCTTTCTTAAGATTTGCTATTCAAGAAGGGATCACTGAAGAAGAAAATGCTCGACTGTGCCTTACTGAGTTAGAAGCACTTGACGAAAAGACGCTAGAAGCCCAATAAAACCTTAAATGTTATCAAGCTCGTCTATCTCGTGCTTTCAATAAGAAGGTTCGCTTGAGGAGCTTCCAAGTTGGAGACCAAGTTCTCGCGGTAAGAAGACCCATCATTACATCGCACAAGTCTGGGGGAAATTTACCTCAAAGTGGGATGGACCATATGCCGTACAAGAAGCATATTCACATGGTGCTTACAAGCTTGTTGATGCAAATGGCATAAGGATCGGTCCTATTGATGCAAAATTTCTAAAGAGGTACTACCCTTTAAGTAAGATGATGCTCCTTAAGGTACGAGCCTAAACTGCATGTCACTCCTGGACTGCAAGAGTATAAACTGTGTACGACACAATAAAAAAAATCACTCAATCCCCCAAAACTACATTGTGACTTGATCCTCTTCATTGAGGTACATAGGCGCTTAGAATATATCCTAAGTTCAGTTGCATGAGCGTCAAAAAACCACATGTTCCCACTTAATCTGTCACATGACAGTCGAAGCGATAAGTATTTTGTTTTATCTTTTGTCTCATCAAACTTTAGACTTGTACGAAGTATTGATTGGTCAATAGATGGGGGCAAACCCTTAAAATATGAGTTTTGTTAACAACATGCTTGAAGTTTCTTTAAATTCAGCTAAGTATACAAGTTGAAGTCTTCAAATCCTCCAAGTATACAAGTTGAAGTCTTCAAATCTTCCAAGTATGCAAAATTGAAGTCTTCAAATCCTCCAAGTATGCAAGATGAAGTCTTCAAATCTTTCAAGTATGCAAGCTAAAGTCTTCAAATCTTCCAAGTATGCGAATTAAAGTCTTCAAAGTCCTCCAAGTCTGCAGGTTGAGGTCCTCAAATTCTTCTAGTCTGCAAGTTGAAGTCTTCAAATTCCTTAAGTCTGCAAGTTGAGGTCTTCAAATTCTTCAAGTCTACGAGTTGAGGTCTTCAAGTCTGCAAGTTGAAATCTTTAAGTCTACAAGTTGAAGTCTTCAAATTCTTCAAGCCTGCAAGTTGAAGTCTTCAAATTCTTTTAAGTCTGCAAGTTAAAGTCTTCAAATTCTTTAAGTCTACAAGTTGAAGTCTTCAAATTCTTCAAGCCTGCAAGTTGCGGTCTTCAATTTCTTCAAGTATGCAAGTTGAGGTCTTCAAATTCTTCAAGTCTGCAAGTTGAGGTCTTCAAATTCTTTAAGTCTGCAAGTTGAAGTTTTCAAGTCTTGACAGCATAAATTACCTTTCTTAGGGAGAGGATTTGTATCTATTCGCGTTCTCCTTAAGAATACCATAAATTTACCTTTCTTAGGGCGGGGATGTTTATCTATTCGCTTTCGCCTTAAGAATACCATAAAGTTACCTTTCTTAGGGAGGGGATCTGTATCTATCCGCTTTCGCCTTAAAAATACCATAAATTACCTTTCTTAGGGTGGGGATTTGTATCTATCCATGTTCGCCTTAAATATACCATAAAGTTACCTTTCTTAGGGCGGGGATTTATATCTATCTGCTTTCGCCTTAAGAATACCGTAAAGTTACCTTTCATAGGGCGGGGATTTGTATCTATCCGTTTTCACCTTAAGAATACCATAAATTACCTTTCTTAGGGCGAGTATTTATATCTATCCACTTTCGCCTTAAAGAATGCAAATAAATTACCTTTCTTAGGGCGGGGATGTTTATCTATCCGCTTTCGCCTTAAAGAATACCATAAATTACCTTTCTTAGGACGGGGATGTATATCTATCCATTTTTTCCTTAAGAATATGATATACCGTGAGTTTACGGTATTTCTAATACATTTCACTTACAAGTTGTGTGTGTCTAGGGCCTTTTTGTATTGGTTTTTATGTGTTTTTATCATATTTTGCAAGAAAGATGTTCAGGCGCGGAAGTAAAGAGACAGCTGAAAGAAATGCAAAAGAGGGCATTTATGGAGGTGATCTACGGACCATAGATGGTGGTTGTAGATCAGCATGCAAGGCATGTAAGGAAAATCAGGGAAATCTGACCAAGTGTGGAACCACGGTGGCCATTGACGGTCCGTTGTTGATCCGTAGATTGATATTGCGAGGGTTCCAGTACCTGATGTTTGAAAAATTCTAAGTATGGAGCTATGGAGAGGGATTGATGGACTGTCGATCTACGGTTTGTACTGCAACTCTGTCGTTTACTTCAGAGAAGCTGATTTTTGGAAGCTGAAAGTCTTTCTAAGTCCTGGTTGATGGAACCGATTCACGGACCGTAGATCCATTGACGGTCCGTGAGTCAGTCTCGGGAATGAAGACGCATGCCTGAACAAACTTTCCTTATTTTGTTTCCCTTTTAATTTAGGACTTGTTTTCTATAAATAGGGCATGTAAACCTCATTTTTGGGGGTTAGACATTATTATTTTATTCTAGTTCTTGACTTAGGAGATTAACATTCAACTTTAGCAATTCTTAATTTCCTAAGTTCGTTTTGAAGATTTTGGTGTTGCAATTCAAGTTGAATTTCTGGGTTTATTATTCTTCTTACGTAAGTTCATAATTCTTTCATCTAAAACAATGAATTATGTTCATATGATTATGGGTAACTAAAATCCACAACTAGGGTTGTGGGAACCATGAGCGATTAACAAAGTATGAATAGTAAATAAGCAATTCTTGAATAGTGTTTTGCATGCATTGATAATTTTTTAGTTTAAAAGTCTTCTTAACGAGTGCACGCATTAGAACTCACCTTGTTGATACTTGTCGGACCAAGGAGGTAATCAACAAGAAAAGAAATATCAACATAGATTTAGTGTGATACTATCTAATAGGTTAGTGTCGATTGGTGCGAAGTAATAACTAAGCCAAACATTGATTATGATGTCTAATATGAGGTAAAGGTAAGGTTTAGTAAATTATACACACTTA